AGTAGTATCAGTAGTATCTGTAGTATCTGTAGTAGTATCTGTAGTATCTGTAGTAGTATCAGTAGTATCAGTAGTATCTGTAGTAGTGTTACCTTGGCGAAGGCCTTGGTGCAGGAGTGACAGACGAAGGGTTTCTCTCCTCTGTGTCTCCTCTCGTGATCCTTCAGGTGAGACTTGTGTTTAAAGGCCTGCAGACAGGTGAGAGACAGACAGGTGAGAGAGAGACAGGTGAGAGAGAGACAGGGGAGAGAGAGACAGGTGAGAGATGAGACAGACGTGAGAGAGAGACAGGTGAGAGAGAGACAGGTGATAGAGAGAAGGACAGGTGAGAGACAGACAGGTGAGAGAGAGACAGGTGAGAGAGAGACAGGTGAGAGACAGACAGGTGAGAGAGAGACAGGTGAGAGGAGAGACAGGTTAGAGCAAGAACAGGTGAAAGACAGACAGGTGGAAGAGAGACAGGTGAGAGACAGACAGGTTGAGAGAGAGACAGGTAGAGACAGAAGACAGGTGAAAGACAGACCATTGTGAGAGAGAGAGGGGCAGGTGAGAGACAGGATCAGGTTGAAAGACAGACAGGGATGAGAGAGAGACAGGTGAGAGAGAGACAGGTGAGAGAGAGACAGGTGAGAGAGAGAGCAGTGAGAGAAAGACAGGTGAGAGAGAGACAGGTGAGAGAGAGACAGGGTGAGAGACAGACAGGTGAAAGAGACAGGTGAGAGAGAGAAGGTGAGAGAGAGACAGGTGAAAGAGAGACAGGTGAGAGACAGACAGGTGAGAGACAAGAATAGGTGAGAGGAGACAAAGGTGAGAGACAGACAGGTGAAAGACAGGACAGGTGAGAGAGAGACAGGGTGTTGTTAGAGAGAGCACAGGTGAGAGACAGACGGTTGAGATAGACAGACCAGTTGAGGAGAGAGGACAGCTGTGAAAGACGACAGGTGAGAGAGGAGAGAGAGGGAGAGGACTAGAGAACTGGTGAGAGACCCAGACAGGTGATAGAGACAAGACAGGTGAGAGACAGACAGGTGAGAGACAGACAGGGTGAGAGACAGAAGGTGAGAGAGACAGGACAGGTGTTTGAAAGACAGACAGTTGAGAGATAGAGAGACAGGTGAGAGAGAGACAGGTGAGAGACAGACAGGTGAGAGAGGAGACAGACAGGTGGAGACAGGACAAGTTGAGAGACAGACAGGTGAGAGACAGACAGAAGAGAGACAGGTGAGAGACAGACAGGTGAGAGACAGGACAGGGATAGACAGGACAGGCGTGAGAGGACAGGACAGGTGAGAGATGAGAGACAGACAGGTGAAAAGACAGACAGGTGAGAGAGAGACAGGTGAGAGGAGAGAGAACAGGTGAGCGAAGAAGGATGAGAGAGAGACAGTGGAAGAGCCAGAGAGACAGACAGGTGAGAGGGACAGACAGGTGAGAGACAGACAGGTGGAGAGACAGACAGTGAGAGACAGACAGGTGAGAGACAGGTGAGAGAGAGACAGAGCAGGTGAAAGACAGGGAACAGGTGAAGAGAGCGACAGGCTGAGAGACGAGACAGGTGAGAGACAGACAGGTGAGAGAGAGACGGAGGTGAGAGAGAGACATGATGAGAGACAGACAGGTGAGAGAGAAGAGAGACAGGTGAGAGAGAGACAGGGTGAGAGACCGACAGGTGAAGGAGAGACAGGACGACAGGTGAGAGAGGACAGGTGAGGAGACAGACAGGTGAGAGACAGAACAGGTGAGAGACCAGGACAGGTGAGTAGAGAGACAGGTGAAAGACAGAACAGGTGAGAGAGAGGACAGGTGAGAAGAGACAGGACAGGTGAGAGACAGACAGGTGAGAGACAGGACAGTGGTGAGAGCCAGATAGGTGAGAGGGGACAGGACAGTTGAAGAGACAGACAGACAGGTGAAAGACCAGACAGGTGAGAGAGAGACAGGTGAGAGAGAGACAGGTGAGAACAGACCAGGTGAGAGACAGACAGGTGAGAGAGAGACAGGTGAAAGACAGACAGGTGAGAGAGAGACAGGTGAGAGACAGACAGGTGAGAGACAGACAGGTGAGAGAGAGACAGGTGAGAGAGAGAAGCCAGGTGAAAGAAGACAGGTGAGAGAGAGAGACAGTGAGAGACAGACAGACAGGTGATGTAAGTCAGGTGAGAGACAGGTAGAGACAGACAGGTGTAGAGACAGACAGGTGAGAGGAGACAGGTGAGAGAGAGACAGGTGAGAGACAGACAGGTGAAAGACAGAAGGTGAGAGAGAGACAGGTGAGAGACAGACAGGTGATGAAGTCAGGTGAGAGACAGACAGGTGATGAAGTCAGGTGAGAGACAGACAGGTGATAAAGACAGTGAGAGACAGACAGGTGAGAGACAGGTGAGAGACAGACAGGTGAGAGACAGACAGGTGAGAGAGAGACAGGTGAGAGAGAAGACAGGTGAAAGACAGACAGGTGAGAGAGAGACAGGTGAGAGACAGACAGGTGATAAAGACAGGTGAGAGACAGACAGGTCATAAAGACAGGTGAGAGACAGACAGGTGAGACAGGTGATGAAGTCAGGTGAGAGACAGACAGGTGATAAAGTCAGGTGAGAGACAGACAGGTGATAAAGACAGGTGAGAGACAGACAGGTGATGAAGTCAGGTGAGAGACAGACAGGTGATAAAGTCAGGTGAGAGACAGACAGGTGATGAAGTCAGGTGAGAGACAGACAGGTGATAAAGTCAGGTGAGAGACAGACAGGTGATGAAGTCAGGTGAGAGACAGACAGGTGATAAAGACAGGTGAGAGACAGACAGGTGAGAGACAGGTGAGAGACAGACAGGTGAGAGACAGACAGGTGAGAGAGAGACAGGTGAGAGAGAGACAGGTGAAAGACAGACAGGTGAGAGAGAGACAGGTGAGAGACAGACAGGTGGATGAAGTCAGGTGAGAGACAGACAGGTGAGAGACAGGTGAGAGACAGACAGGTGAGAGACAGACAGGTGAGAGAGAGACAGGTGAGAGAGAGACAGGTGAAAGACAGACAGGTGAGAGAGAGACAGGTGAGAGAGAGACAGGTGAAAGACAGACGGTGAGAGAGAGACAGGTGAGAGACAGACAGGTGATAAAGAAGGTGAGAGACAGACAGGTGAGAGACAGACAGGTGAGAGACAGACAGGTGAGAGAGAGACAGGTGAAAGACAGACAGGTGAGAGAGAGACAGGTGAGAGAGAGACAGGTGAAAGACAGACAGGTGAGAGAGAGACAGGTGAGAGAGAGACAGGTGAAAGACAGACAGGTGAGAGACAGACAGGTGAGAGACAGACAGGTCATAAAGACAGGTGAGAGACAGACAGGTGAGACAGGTGATGAAGTCAGGTGAGAGACAGACAGGTCATGAAGTCAGGTGACAGACAGACAGGTGATGAAGTCAGGTGACAGACAGGTGAGTCAGGTGACAGACAGGTGAGCTCACCTTGTCACACATCTGGCAGGCGAACGGCCTCTCGTTGCTGTGAACTCGCTCATGTTTCTTCAGGTCCGGTGCTCGAATAAACGATTTCCCACAAACGTCGCACCTATACGGTTTGTAGCCTGTGTGGATCTTCAGGTGTTCTGAAATGTACAGGTAAGGGGCGGGGCCAAACACACAGGTGAGGGGCGGAGCGAAACAAACAAGTGAGGGGCGGGGCCAAATTGATCTAAAACTTTGGGTGTTTTTACCGGCAGGTGAATGTACTTGAGGACAGGTGTGTTTTTACCGGCAGGTGAATGTACTTGAGGACAGGTGTGTTTTTACCGGCAGGTGAATGTACTTGAGGACAGGTGTGTTTTTACCGGCAGGTGAATGTACTTGAGGACAGGTGTGTTTTTACCGGCAGGTGACTGTACTTGAGGACAGGTGTGTTTTTACCGGCAGGTGACTGTACTTGAGGACAGGTGTGTTTTTACCTGCAGGTGTATGTACCTGAGGATAGCTTGTTTACCTTTCAGGTGAGCCTGGGTGGTGAAAGCTTTGGTGCAGATCTCACAGACGAATGGTCGCTCTGCAGAGTGAAGCTTCTCATGTTTCCTGAACAAAGAGAGGCCAGGTGAGTAAGTGTACAGGTGTGTCAGCGTACAGGTGTGTTAAAGAGGTGTGTTTGTGTGCAGGTGTGTCAGCGTACAGGTGTGTTAAAGAGGTGTGTTTGTGTACAGGTGTGTTAAAGAGGTGTGTTTGTGTACAGGTGTGTTTGTGTACAGGTGTGTTTGTGTACAGGTGTGTTAAAGAGGTGTGTTTGTGTACAGGTGTGTTAAAGAGGTGTGTTTGTGTACAGGTGTGTTAAAGAGGTGTGTTTGTGTACAGGTGTGTTAAAGAGGTGTGTTTGTGTACAGGTGTGTTAGCGTACAGGTGTGTTACTGACAGGTGAGTTGGTCAGGTGTGTTACTGTACAGGTGTGTTACTGTACAGGTGAGTTGGTCAGGTGAGTTGGTCAGGTGTGTTACTGTACAGGTGTGTTACTGATAGGTGAGTTGGTCAGGTGAGTTACTGTACAGGTGTGTTACTGATAGGTGAGTTGGTCAGGTGTGTTACTGTACAGGTGTGTTACCTACAGGTGTGTTACTGACAGTTGAGTTGGTCAGGTGAGTTGGTCAGGTGTGTTACTGTACAGGTGAGTTACTGTACAGGTGAGTTACTGATAGGTGAGTTGGTCAGGTGTGTTACTGTACAGGTGTGTTACTGTACAGGTGTGATACCTACAGGTGTGTTACTGACAGTTGAGTTGGTCAGGTGAGTTGGTCAGGTGTGTTACTGTACAGGTGTGTTACTGTACAGGTGTGTTACTGTACAGGTGTGTTACTGACAGGTGAGTTGGTCAGGTGTGTTACTGTACAGGTGTGTTACCTACAGGTGAGTGGCACCTACCTGAGTCTGCTCTCGTCCAGGAAGGTCTTGCCACACACCTGGCAGGCGAGCTGCTCTCGGTGTCCGTACATCAGGTATTCAAACTTCATGTCTGTGGTGGCAGTGGACCAACCGGGCGGCTGCTCGTCCTTCACCTCCCCCCCCAGGCTGTCTGTGAAGGTGAGCGTCTGCGTGGCGTGATTCCCCTCCCCCAGGTCTTTAGGCTCCGCCTCCATCTCCCCCACCACATCCTGGTCGTAGCAGGTCACCTGGAGAGGTCACATGGTCAGGTTACCTGTATTTAGGGGGCTTGTATTGCTACTTTGTGAGCAGCTTTTAACCAGGGGAGGGGCTTCTGCTGTGTGTGTACCTTGTGCACGTCCTCATTGGTCAGTTCCTTCAGGATGGCTTCCTGAACACGCAGTGCTGCACTGGGAGATTTATCTAGATGCTGATTGGCCGACGCCTCCACGAGGTCATCAGCTGAGGGCGTGTCATCGTGCTCCCCGAGCTCCTACACACACACAGGAACATTAAAGGGTTTATTAATTGACCGGTGTTGTGAAAACACTGAATGTCCTCCTCCAACATGAGAGTAACATGATAACAAAGGTATCCCAACATGAGAGTAGCATGCTAACAAAGGTATCCCAACTGTAGCTGTGAACATGACAGGATGTATGATTACCTAGAAGAGCATCAGGACTGTTTGAGGCATATGATAGCTATGTGATGAACATGATGATTCAGCCTCTATGGAGATAGACATATGACAAGCATGCTCATTTCTGACGTGGAGCTAATCTGAAGTAAACGTTGAATACTGCTTTCTATTCCTCCATCTTGTGACTGTGTAACTCCCTCTCTTGGATATCAGCATGTGAAGGACACTGTTCAGGAACTAGTTGATGCTCTGTATGTGATGACTCCTTCCATTCTGGAGAGGATCACAGATACATGGATCCTGAGATTGAAGCTCAAGCCGGGGCCAGTGATCATTTTTCACACAAGTGGTTGTTAATTGATGAATTGGCACCTCAGCGTCAGCGGCCAGCTGGGCTTCAGGCGGCAGCGCCATCTTCACGATGTCGTACGGAAACTTCTCCTTCTCCTCTGAGGACACGTCACGCTTCTGTGGAAACATGAAGAGGAGCTTTACCTGAGCCACAGGTAACTCTACAGGTGATCCTCCAGGTAACACTACAGGTACCACTACAGGTGATCCTCCAGGTAACACTACAGGTACCACTACAGGTGATCCTCCAGGTAACACTACAGGTACCACTACAGGTACCACTACAGGTGATCCTCCAGGTAACACTACAGGTACCACTACAGGTGATCCTCCAGGTAACACTACAGGTACCACTACAGGTACCACTACAGGTGATCCTCCAGGTAACACTACAGGTACCACTACAGGTACCACTACAGGTGATCCTCCAGGTAACACTACAGGTACCACTACAGGTGATCCTCCAGGTAACACTACAGGTACCACTACAGGTACCACTACAGGTGATCCTCCAGGTAACACTACAGGTACCACTACAGGTACCACTACAGGTGATCCTCCAGGTAACACTACAGGTACCACTACAGGTACCACTACAGGTGATCCTCCAGGTAACACTACAGGTACCACTACAGGTGATCCTCCAGGTAACACTACAGGTAACACTACAGGTAACACTACAGGTGATCCTCCAGGTACCACTACAGGTACCACTACAGGTGATCCTCCAGGTAACACTACAGGTACCACTACAGGTACCACTACAGGTGATCCTCCAGGTAACACTACAGGTACCACTACAGGTGATCCTCCAGGTAACACTACAGGTACCACTACAGGTACCACTACAGGTGATCCTCCAGGTAACACTACAGGTAACACTACAGGTGATCCTCCAGGTACCACTACAGGTACCACTACAGGTGATCCTCCAGGTACCACTACAGGTACCACTACAGGTACCACTACAGGTGATCCTCCAGGTGATACTACAAGTGATCCTACAGGTAGGTGTGTGTGTGTGTGTGTGTACCTGTGAGCAGAGCTTGTCCAGGAAGCGGATCCCGAGGATCTGTCCCGATGACATCATCAGGTTCACGTCCCTCTTCTTCACGGAGATCTTGGCCGTGTACATGTAGTTCAGAACCTCCTCGAAGATATCTGAGCGGATGAAGTCGATCTCTATGACGGAGGAGTTGTCCACCTACACACACACACACACACACACACATTGAATTACACACTTTGAATAGAGAGCCTTCGTGCACAGAGACAGGTGATAACCAGCACGGCAATGAGTGCACGCTTGTTCGTCTACAATTATTTAAACATACATTAAACTAAAGTATGCGATGCTTGCGTGACGGGCAGCGAGGGGAGGGTGTGAAAAAGACGGAGGCGCATCACTTCCGTGGTTTAAATATGATTGAATGTAGCATGCACTTATTCTTTCTTTTGCGTTCATTGATGATGGAGGATGATTATGTTATGAGATAGTTAACCTGTTTATGTATGGGTTTGGGTCGTATCGTTTTTCTCACGTTTGAGGTGTTGACAATGCTCTTTTCTGATTTAATTGTGTAACTGATTGACGGTCAGTCTGTGGGGGGTCTTTGTGTTCATAAGGGACTGTTGGCCCTAGGCTGGCCTCTGGAGATGATTGCAGAGAAGGCAACAGCTAGTGGATGTGTTTACTCCATATTTAAGTGAAAGGAAACCTAATTCTGATGTGTGTGCACCTCGTGCTTCTTGAACAGCTTCTTGAAGTAGTGTGAGCAGGCAGCCAGGACACAGCGGTGAGCTCTGAACTTCACGTCCTCCACGACCACAGCGATGTCGCAGTGTTCGCCCTCCAGACGCTGGTCGTTCAGGAGCTTCAGGAAGATACTGCGGTGATCATCGTCCACATATTTCACTGTCTCTGCCATCTACACACACAGAGACAGAGACAGAGACACACACAGAGTTATAAGATGAGTATAAATCTACTGGACACAGGGTAAACAGCAGGTACATGTTGTCTGTGGAGGACAATAAGATGCTATATATTATCAGATTTATTTTTACAACATGAGGTTTCCAGGTGTAAGGACAGGTGTAACTCAGCAGAATACCTGAGAACTGGGTCATGTACTGGGAGTATTCTTCAGACCAACAGCTGGAAGAGGTCATACTGAAGCATCTATGGTTCTGTGACTGGTTCTGGACCTCATAGAACCAGTCACAGAACCATGAAGGAAACGTGAAGAGTGCATGTACCTCTCACACAGCGTGCACACGCTTCTCGCAGCTTTAATAGCTAGCTGCTAGCATCTGTTAGCATCCAGCATACCTTTAGTTTAGCATCAGATCCGCAGTTTAACCGTTAGCCTGTGGAGCTAACATGCTAATAGCTAGTTAACCACAGAACCCTGAGGCAGATGTATGTGTTAAACTAGCTGTGGTTAACTAGCTGTGGTTAACTAGCTGTGATTCACTAGCTGTGGTTAGTGTGTGTACAGCAGCTGGTTAACTGTTAGGCTTTAGGAAGGAGAAGGTGTTTTTGAGTCTGTTTTAAATGGCGGACAGGCCTGCTGCTCTAGCTACAAAATGGCTCTCGTGCCTCCGGTCCTCGCGGTAACATTAACACCGGGTTACCGGAGACACCGGAGCACGAGACCGGTGGTTTCTATCTGCCAACAGCCGCGCGCTCTCCGCCAACCCCGGGCCCGTCTCACAGGCACGCGGGCAGCGGCGCGGGCCTCGGTAACGAGTCGGGTCTCGAGCGGCCATGAACGCGCAGGCATCCGCGCGGACAGGGAGAGCAGCGCGAGGAGCAGCGCGCGAGTAGCAGTTCTTACCGTGACGGTGGATTCCTCTCTCCGGTGTGTCCTCGCGGTACCGGGAGCAGACTGTCCGGTTGTTGTTGTTGTTGTTGTTGTTAGGGTTAGATGATGTTGTTGTTGATGAGGACGCGCACAGGAAGCTCGCGCTCGCACTGCAGGGGCACGCAGGCTGCGCGCCAAACACACAGCTATGCGCATGCGCAGTCCCCCTGGGAGCAGGCCATAGAGAAGCCGCCATGTTGTTTCACTCTCCAGATATAACTAACTTTTACTAACTCTTTACAGTAATGAGATTACAAACACTAACTGTTCACATTAATGATGTTAAAAACACTAACTGTTCACATTAATGATGTTAAAAAACACTAACTGTTTACATTAATGATGTTAAAAACACTAACTGTTCACATTAATGATGTTAAAAACACTAACTGTTTACATTAATGATGTTAAAAACACTAACTGTTCACATTAATGATGTTAAAAACACTAACTGTTCACATTAATGATGTTAAAAACACTAACTGTTTACATTAATGATGTTAAAAACACTAACTGTTTACATTAATGATGTTAAAAACACTAACTGTTTACATTAATGATGTTAAAAACACTAACTGTTCACATTAATGATGTTAAAAACACTAACTGTTTACATTAATGATGTTAAAAACACTAACTGTTCACATTAAGTTAAAAACATATTACATATATATAAATATGTTCTCTGTTGAAACATGACAATAGATGTATGAGATAATAACTCTTTAATATACGTTTTTGAGCTGCAAATATAAACATTTATTTTCCTTAATCAAACTAAGATATAATATAAAACTACAGTCAGTGACATCAGAGCTAGGCAGCCAATCAGGGAAGAGATGCTCTATAATAAGGAAGCAATGTTAATAATGAGAACAAAATAAATATAAAGTTATATATGTTCATAAACATGGAAGTAATTAATTGAAATGTAAACTGGTACCGCGTCTCCTTACATATAATAATCAAACGAAACAGTGAGAGAACTACACTACCCACAATCCCCTGCTTCAGACCGGCAAACTCTAAATAAAGGCAGGAGACAGACGGGATCTGTTCCTGATGAATCATCTCTAATTATTAAACGCACAGTGGTACATGTCGGGGATTTTAGTATAAAGTTTAAATATCTCTAGCTCCTTCTGGTCACGTGACTCCAGGTGACTCTCAGCAGCCAATCAGAGCAGCTCGTACTGGCGCAGGTGCATGCGCTGGATGATGTCCCGACAGTCGTTGAAGACGCGGCGGATGTTCTCAGTGTCGATGGCGCAGGTGAAGTGAGGATAACAGTAATGTTTCGCATCTCCACTGGCGGTGCTGATCCTCTGAGGACAGGAAGTGATGTAATCAATAATCACACTCTGTCATATACACAATAATCAGCTGTTCTCTGTGATATATAATCAGCTGTTTCCCATCTCCACTGGCGGTGCTGATCCTCTGAGGACAGGAAGTGATGTAATCAATAATCACAGTGATATATGTCTTCATAAACTCTGTGATCTATAATATAATAATAACAATAATGTGTATTTGTACCAGGAACTCGTCTCTGATGAAGAACTTGGCTCTGGTAACTTGAGGGTCTTCATCAGCGTCTGGAACAGCTGCAACAGATTCACATTCATCATCTCTACATGTTGGTGTATATATTTAAATATTTGTTGATATACATCTATATATTTATATGTGTACATTCAGGAGGCACTTGGTAGGTGGTGTACTCGGGGAAATAATCCTCCAGTTTGGATTTTCCAGCCAGAATCTTGTCAGCGAGCACATCCTGTTTGTTCAGGAACAAGATCACCGAGATGGTCTTTAAAAACCTACAGCCAATCACAGAGCAGAGAGGGTTACCTAGAGCCAACCACAGAGCAGAGAGGGTTACCTACAGCCAATCACAGAGCAGAGAGGGTTACATACAGCCAATCAGAGAGCAGAAAGAGTTACATACAGCCAATCAGAGAGCAGATAGGGTAAACTACAGCCAATCACAGAGCAGAGAGGGTTACATACAGCCAATCAGAGAGCAGAGAGGGTTACATACAGCCAACCACAGAGCAGAGAGGGTTACCTATAGCCAATCAGAGAGAGTTACATACAACCAATCAGAGAGCAGAGAGGGTTACCTACAGCCAATCAGAAAGAGTTACATACAGCCAATCACAGCGCAGAGAGTGTTACCTACAGCCAATCACAGAGCAGAGAGTGTTACCTACAGCCAATCAGAGAGCAGCATGTTACCTGTTGGTCCAGATGGATCTGAAGAGGTCCAGAGATTCTCGCAGCCGATTGGTCGAGTTGTCCTCTCTGATCACCATGTTGTAGCTGCTGCTCGCCGCCACAAAGATGATGGCTGTCACATCTGAGGGTGAGACAGGTCATCGGAACACATGTGAGCAGTGAGACAGGTCATCGGAAAACATGTGAGCAGTGAGACAGGTCATCGGAAAACATGTGAGCAGTGAGACAGGTCATCGGAAAACATGTGAGCAGTGAGACGGGTCATCAGAACACATGTGAGCAGTGAGACAGGTCATCAGAACACATGTGAGCAGTGAGACAGGTCATCAGAAAACATGTGAGCTGTGAGACAGGTCATCAGAAAACACGTGAGCAGTGAGACAGGTCATCAGAAAACACGTGAGCAGTGAGACAGGTCATCAGAAAACACGTGAGCAGTGAGACAGGTAATCAGAAAACATGTGAGCTGTGAGACAGGTAATCAGAACACATGTGAGCAGCGAGACAGGTAATCAGGTAACATGTGAGCAGTGAGACAGGTCATCAGAACACATGTGAACAGTGAGACAGGTCATCGGAAAACATGTGAGCAGTGAGACAGGTCATCGGAAAACATGTGAGCAGTGAGACAGGTCATCAGAAAACACGTGAGCAGTGAGACAGGTAATCAGGTAACATGTGAGCAGTGAGACAGGTCATCGGAAAACATGTGAGCAGTGAGACAGGTCATCAGAACACATGTGAACAGTGAGACAGGTCATCAGAAAACATGTGAGCAGTGAGACAGGTCATCAGAACACATGTGAACAGTGAGACAGGTCATCAGGTAACATGTGAGCAGTGAGACAGGTCATCAGAACACATGTGAACAGTGAGACAGGTCATCAGAAAACATGTGAGCAGTGAGACAGGTCATCAGAACACATGTGAACAGTGAGACAGGTCATCAGAACACATGTGAACAGTGAGACAGGTCATCAGGTAACATGTGAGCAGTGAGACAGGTCATCAGAAAACACGTGAGCAGTGAGACAGGTAATCAGGTAACATGTGAGCAGTGAGACAGGTCATCGGAAAACATGTGAGCAGTGAGACAGGTCATCAGAAAACATGTGAGCTGTGAGACAGGTCATCAGGTAACATGTGAGCAGTGAGACAGGTAATCAGAACACATGTGAACAGTGAGACAGGTAATCAGAACACATGTGAGCAGTGAGACAGGTCATCAGGTAACATGTGAGCAGTGAGACAGGTCATCAGGTAACATGTGAGCAGTGAGACAGGTCATCAGGTAACATGTGAGCAGTGAGACAGGTCATCAGAACACATGTGAGCAGTGAGACAGGTCATCAGAACACATGTGAGCAGTGAGACAGGTCATCAGAACACATGTGAGCAGTGAGACAGGTCATCAGAAAACATGTGAGCTGTGAGACAGGTCATCAGAACACATGTGAGCAGTGAGACAGGTCATCAGGTAACATGTGAGCAGTGAGACAGGTCATCAGGTAACATGTGAGCAGTGAGACAGGTCATCAGGTAACATGTGAGCAGTGAGACAGGTCATCAGGTAACATGTGAGCAGTGAGACAGACAGATTTTCTCACCGTTGAAGCACTGGATCCACTTCCTGCGTTCATCCCTCTGTCCACCTACATCAAACATGCTGACAGACAGACAGACGGGCAGACAGACAGACAGACAGCCGGGCAGACAGACGGGCAGACAGACAGACAGACGGGCAGACAGACAGACGGGCAGACAGACAGACAGACAGACAGACAGACGGGCAGACAGACAGACGGGCAGACAGGCAGACAGACAGACAGACAGACAGACGGGCAGACAGACAGACAGACGGGCAGACAGACAGACAGACAGACAGACAGACAGACAGACGGGCAGACAGACAGACAGAGAGACAGTTGTTAATATGCACTTTGTTTATGTTTTCCGATGATGATGTCACATTTGTTTTGAGGGGGTTGAGCCGGAGACAGCTGATTGGTGCAGGTGCTCAGAGGGGCGGGGCTTAGCTGATTGGGGCAGGTGCTCAGATGGGCGGGGCTTAGCTGATTGGTGCAGGTGCTCAGAGGGGCGGGGCTTAGCTGATTGGTGCAGGTGCTCAGATGGGCGGGGCTTAGCTGATTGGTTTCAGGGTCACAGAGGGGCGGGGCTTACTGGAAGTTGACCTTGTCGACCTGGAAGCGGGTCTCAATGATCCCGGAGGTCAGAACCCTGCAGCGCAGAAGATCCTGCAGAAGAAGAAGAACAGTGAGGGGGCGGAGCCACACAGAGCTGCCTGCTGATTGGTCTGTTCCTTACCTGGTCAGTGGGGGTGTAGTCTGTCCTCCGTACAGGATCCAACCTGTTGAAGAAGCTGCAACACACACACACACTATCTTTATTAAAAATAATAAATCTATCTTCAAACAGGAAAGTAGATATGTAAATTTAAATTGTTTAAAGGTCACCTATCATGCTATTTTTAGGCAATAGCATAGGTCTCAGATATATAGAAAAATATAAAAAACATGTCTATGAAGTGTTTTGCTCAAAATACCAAACAGATCACCCGGTCATGCCATAGATATCCCTCTATTTCACTTCCTGTTTCAAAAGTGCTGATTCTGGGTATAAACAGGTGTCTCTTGAGAATGAGACCCGGTGTCTCAATGAGACTTTCACCTGTATAAATAAAGGCTACAATAAAAAATAAGAGGGGGCGGATTATTATTATTATTTCCTGCTTCTTCACACACATGCTCTCCAGTACAGGTTAGCTCTGAGTGTTAGCGATGCTAATGTAAACACCGACCATATTACGTCCATAACAGTCGGGCATTGTTTCGGATAGCAACTTTCTGATAGGGCCGTGGGTCCACCGCCGATTTGACGTCATATTGGACGCAAATCTGGATCAGCTCCGTTGCTCCCCCGTTTTTAGAGATTTGGGTACGGAGGAAAAGAGAGAGGGTTTTATTTTCTGATGCTGCGTGAGTCTCCTGACACACCGGGGACACATTGGGACACACCGGGGACACACCGGGGACACATTGGGACACACCGGGGACACATTGGGACACACCGGGGACACACTGGGGACACATTGGGACACACCGGGGACACACTGGGGACACACCGGGGACACATTGGGACACACTGGGGACACATTGGGACACACCGGGGACACATTGGGACACACCGGGGACACATTGGGACACACCGGGGACACATTGGGACACACCGGGGACACATTGGGACACACCGGGGACACATTGGGACACACCGGGGACACATTGATGGACAGAAGACATCAAAAAGTAGATTTTGCATGATAGGTCTCCTTTAATATTATAAATAGTTTTAATTGTTTACAGGGAGATAAAAACACATGATTAAATAAAATAAAATCTGATAAATGATAAGAACGTTTATGTGTGTGTGTATACGTGCCGTCTGTTACTGAGGTTCTCTGTGATAGGTCCGTCAGGGTTAGTGGAGCGCTCTGATTGGTCCGTGGGGATTTGAAATGTCACAGTTCTTCTGAAGTGATGAGGTGTGTGTGTGTGTGTGACTCACTACTGAGCGCAGTCGATCAGCTGGTACTCGTTGGCGCGTTCAAAGCATGCCTTCACGCCTTCATCCTCCCACAGATTCTGAGTGTGCTCGAAGAACTCCTGAAAGACAGACAGGTGTGTCAACAGGTGTGCTGTCCTCTGATTGGACGGCAGTGTGAGTCCTGTCGGCCAATCAGCAGCAGTGTCACAACAATAAACATTTAACGCAGGAAGTGAGTCTGTTTTCAGTCTTTAGAGACACGGCGGGGATAATGAGGCCTCAGGTGTATGGGCTCAGAACAGTCTCATAATACACACATGCACACAGAAGGATTCACACTTGTATTTCATGATCCGCAAAAGGATTCACACTTGTATTTCCGGATCCACACTTGTGTTTGTCAATGCACACACAAATGTTTTCCGTTTCATATACATGTAAATAAAATCCAAATACAGAAAAAAGTTTTACATATGTATTTTTGATCCTCACATATTTGTTTTCCGTTTAAAACCGCTGCACCTACAAACACAAACCGCTTTCTGTGCATGGATCGCTGTGCATTCGTGTGTGGGTTTTTTGAGACTCCCCTGACGGTCACCCGATTCGTACTTGTAATTTTTTCTGTCTATAGCCAATCAGATGTCTCCTCAATTCTAAGCCAATCACATGAGCGCGCCCCCACGAGGGTAGATTTCTTGCGTTCATGACGTAGCGCTTCATGTACGCATTTTGCGCTGTCCGGAGCTGACAGGTCCATGGAGCCTGCCTGCAGGCGCTAATCTCAGGACACCTCCACTCTCAGTACATTGCCACTTTCCGAGCAGGAAATGCACACAAATACAAGCCTTTATATTATTAAGGTACAGTGCCACTTTCCGAACCATTAATGAATGCTTGTGTACACAAAAACGGCAGGCAAAACTGTTTTAAATGTGTGTTTCCTGTATGGCGAATACAGCTGCTTTATTTATGTCTGTATGAAGTTGTTGTGAGTGTGGAGGGAGCAGCTACAGGTTAGCTTAGCCTAATCGATCAGTGCACTACGAAGCCAGTGCTAGACAGTGAACTGTCAACGGGGAGAGCCCCGCCGGTCATTATCGGCCGATATTCACTCTTAATAGTTTGATCGGTGCTCTCTATAAAGGCCGATCAGGAGAGCTGGATCTGATCGATATGGACATAAACGCGAGTGAATTTTAGCGAGCTGCATGAGAAACTGACGGGCTGTCAGGAGAGAGGGAGGGAGAGAGGAAAAGAGATGATCCTTACTCCCGTGTTATTATCCGGTCATAGTCCGGTAATTACCTAACGGAAACGCTGCTACACAATTCTTATAATTATTATTATTGAAACATGACCGGTAAGTTTCAAATTTGTCCGGTAAAATTAAATTCTGTCCGCGGAAACCCTGCTCCGGACTACGCAAAATGCGTATATGAAGTGACATGAATGCAAGAAATCTACCCTCGTGGGGGGCGCGCTCATGTGATTGGCTTAGAATTGAGGAGATATCTGATTGGCTATAGATAGAAACAATTACAAGTACGAATCGGGTCACCGTCAGGGGAGTCTCAAAAAACCCACACACGAATGCACAGCGATCCATGCACAGAAAGCGGTTTGTGTTTGTAGGTGCAGGGGATTTAAACGGAAAACAAATATGTGAGGATCAAAAATACATATGTAAAACTTTTTTCTGTATTTGGATTTATTTACATGTATATGAAACGGAACACATTTGTGTGTGCATTGAAAAACACAAGTGTGGATCCGGAAATACAAGTGTGAATCCTTTTGCGGATCATGAAATACAAGTGTGAATCCTTCTGTGTGCATGTGTGTATTATGAGACTGTTCTGAGCCCATACAGGTGACACACACACACACACACACACACACACACACACACACACACACACACACACACACACACACACACACACACACACACACACACACACACACACACACACACACACACACACACACACACACACACACACACACACACACACACACACACACACACACACACACACACACACACACACACACACACACACACACACACACACACTCTTCAGCACCAGGAGACAGGTGTGTTTGTTTTAATGATGTTAATGACATGATGTAACCTTTGAGCATGGGACTGATGGGGTGTGTGTGTGTGTTACCTCAGTGCATTCGAAGTCTGACAGTGGTGCGATGCTCCGGATGTAGTCCAGTCTGAACTCGTTGGCAGGGTTACCGAGTGGCATGGGAGGAGTCAGCGTGGACATGGCCGTCACGATGGCCTGACACACACACACACACACAATAAATCATCAGTAGAAACATTTCCTCGTAGACTTTTGGAGACTGCAGGTCATGTGATGCAGGTCATGTGACGATGGTCATGTGACGCGGGTCATGTGACGATGGTCATGTGATGCAGGTCATGTGACGATGGTCATGTGATGCGGGTCATGTGATGCGGCTCATGTGCAGGTCATGTGACACGGGTCATGTGATGCAGGTCATGTGACGCAGGTCCTCACCACGATGGCGTCCTTCACGTTCTTCCTGATGTCCCGGGCCTTCTCCTGCTTCTCCCTGAAACACAGAGACACAGTTACCTGACCTCTGACCTCACCTGCTGACTCACCTGTCATCACTCTATCTTTATTGTTCTTCCACACACAGGAAGCTCACGCAGGACATTTCAAAATAAAAGACTCACTCAGCGTTGAAGCCGTCCACATGGAGGATCCTCATCTGCTTCACTATGGTGCTCTTACCAGACTCTCCTGCACCTGCACACACAGAGAGAGAGAGAGAGAGAGAGAGAGAGAGAGAGAGAGAGAGAGAGTGAGTGAGTGAGTGAGTGAGTGAGTGAGTGAGTGAGTGAGTGAGTGAGTGAGTGAGTGTGTGTGTGTGTGTGTGTGTGTGTGTCTCACCCAGCAGCAGTCTGTGTGTGTGTGTGTGTGTGTGTGTGTGTGTGTGTGTGTGTGTGTGTGTGTGTGTGTGTGTGTGTGTGTGTGTGTGTGTGTCTCACCCAGCAGCAGCAGTCTGTGTGTAGCTTTGTAAGCCTGTCTCTCTCTCTGCAGTTGTTTCTCGATTTTTTTGTTGGCTTCTCTCTTCGCTTTCTCATCCAGACGCTCTTCATCCGTCTGTCCGCCCAGACAGCCCATCTCTACCTGCAATATGATATTATATATATATATATATATATTAATACACACACCTGAGGATACCTGGAGACAGCCCATCTCTACCTGCAATATGATATTATATATATATATATATATACACACCTGAGATAGTTTTCAGTGAAACAGACAGAGTGAGTGCTCCCACTGATCCAGATCTCTGACCCCTCACTCAACTACAAACACACCTGTACTGTAAACAGGTCTATAAACAGGTCTATAAACAGGTCTGTAAACAGGTCTGTAAACAGGTCTATAAACAGGTCTACAGTAAACAGGTCTATAAACAGGTCTATAAACAGGTCTATAAACAGGTCTGTAAACAGGTCAGTAAACAGGTCTATAAACAGGTCTGTAAACAGGTCTATAAACAGGTCTGTAAACAGGTCTGTAAACAGGTCTGTAAACAGGTCTACAGTAAACAGGTCTATAAACAGGTCTGTAAACAGGTCTATAAACAGGTCTGTAAACAGGTCAGTAAACAGGTCTATAAACAGGTCTGTAAACAGGTCTATAAACAGGTCTGTAAACAGGTCTGTAAACAGGTCTATAAACAGGTCTATAAACAGGTCTGTAAACAGGTCTACAGTAAACAGGTCTATAAACAGGTCTATAAACAGGTCTGTAAACAGGTCTGTAAACAGGTCTATAAACAGGTCTATAAACAGGTCTGTAAACAGGTCTACAGTAAACAGGTCTATAAACAGGTCTATAAACAGGTCTGTAAACAGGTCTATAAACAGGTCTGTAAACAGGTCTATAAACATGTCTGTAAACAGGTCTATAAACATGTCTGTAAACAGGTCTATAAACAGGTCTGTAAACAGGTCTATAAACAGGTCTGTAAACAGGTCTATAAACATGTCTGTAAACAGGTCTATAAACATGTCTGTAAACAGGTCTATAAACAGGTCTGTAAACAGGTCTGTAAACAGGTCTATAAACAGGTCTGTAAACAGGTCTATAAACATGTCTGTAAACAGGTCTGTAAACAGGTCTGTAAACAGGTCAGTAAACAGGTCTATAAACAGGTCTGTAAACAGGTCTGTAAACAGGTCTGTAAACAGGTCTGTAAACAGGTCTATAAACAGGTCTATAAACAGGTCTGTAAACAGGTCTACAGTAAACAGGTCTATAAACAGGTCTATAAACAGGTCTGTAAACAGGTCTATAAACAGGTCTGTAAACAGGTCTATAAACATGTCTGTAAACAGGTCTATAAACATGTCTGTAAACAGGTCTATAAACATGTCTGTAAACAGGTCTATAAACAGGTCTGTAAACAGGTCTGTAAACAGGTCTATAAACAGGTCTGTAAACAGGTCTATAAACAGGTCTGTAAACAGGTCTGTAAACAGGTCTATAAACATGTCTGTAAACAGGTCTATAAACAGGTCTGTAAACAGGTCTGTAAACAGGTCTATAAACAGGTCTGTAAACAGGTCTATAAACATGTCTGTAAACAGGTCTATAAACAGGTCTGTAAACAGGTCTGTAAACAGGTCTATAAACAGGTCTGTAAACAGGTCTATAAACATGTCTGTAAACAGGTCTGTAAACAGGTCTATAAACAGGTCTGTAAACAGGTCTATAAACAGGTCTATAAACAGGTCTGTAAACAGGTCTATAAACAGGTCTGTAAACAGGTCTGTAAACAGGTCTACAGTAAACAGGTCTATAAACAGGTCTGTAAACAGGTCTGTAAACAGGTCTATAAACAGGTCTGTAAACAGGTCTGTAAACAGGTCTATAAACAGGTCTGTAAACAGGTCTATAAACAGGTCTATAAACAGGTCTATAAACAGGTCTGTAAACAGGTCTACAGTAAACAGGTCTATAAACAGGTCTATAAACAGGTCTATAAACAGGTCTGTAAACAGGTCTATAAACAGGTCTGTAAACAGGTCTGTAAACAGGTCTATAAACAGGTCTGTAAACAGGTCTGTAAACAGGTCTGTAAACAGGTCTACAGTAATCAGGTCTGGTACAGGACCTCTCAGGTGTCTCTGGATAAAGAGGGTTACCTGCAGCTGATCACTGAGAGTCTCTCTGAGCGTCCATTAAAGTCCAGATCCGGGTCCTCCAGCTCTCTGATGGTTCTGATAGTCCTGGTCTTCAGGTGATCTCAGGAACACTGAAACCCCTCTGATGTTTCTTTAGTTAAACACCTCCCCCCTCGTCTCTAACAGCGTCTCATTAGTCTCCGAGTTCTCTCTTCAGGGAGTTCTGTGTTTTTCCTCTCTGTCACATCCTGCCTAGCAACCAGATCACAAACAACCTCACGAGTCCAGAAGCTCTTTGTATTAAAGAACCAGAACCTCAAGAGACCAGAAGCTCTTTGTATTAAAGAACCAGAACCTCAAGAGTCCAGAAGCTCTTTGTATTAAAGAACCAGAACCTCAAGAGACCAGAAGCTCTTTGTATTAAAGAACCAGAACCTCAAGAGACCAGAAGCTCTTTATAAACCAGACTGGGGTACCAGAACCTCAAGAGACCAGAAGCTCTTTGTATTAAAGAACCAGAACCTCAAGAGTCCAGAAGCTCTTTGTATTAAAGAACCAGAACCTCAAGAGTCCAGAAGCTCTTTGTATTAAAGAACCAGAACCTCAAGAGTCCAGAAGCTCTTTGTATTAAAGAACCAGAACCTCAAGAGACCAGAAGCTCTTTGTATTAAAGAATCAGAACCTCAAGAGACCAGAAGCTCTTTGTATTAAAGAACCAGAACCTCTAGAGTCCAGAAGCTCTTTGTATTAAAGAACCAGAACCTCAAGAGTCCAGAAGCTCTTTGTATTAAAGAACCAGAACCTCAAGAGACCAGAAGCTCCTTGTATTAAAGAACCAGAACCTCAAGAGACCAGAAGCTCTTTGTATTAAAGAACCAGAACCTCAAGAGACCAGAAGCTCTTTATATGAATGTTCTCCGGTCTCAGAGGACCAGGTCTCTTCAGGTCCAGTTTCAGGTCTACAGGTGTGAGGGACAGTTTTAATGAAAGACTCGTGGACTCGTTTTACAGAACCAGGATTTATTGAAGCTCCGAGGCTAAAACAAAGAGACAGAACCAGTCTGGAACCGGTTCTTTAAGGTAAACAAAAGGACATCAGAACTGAATCTGAATGAAGTCCTGAACCACAGGGTCAGGATCTTAACAAATTAAACCTCAGGGAGTCTCCTGATTGGACGAGCCCTCATTCTCCCTCATTGGCTGGATGGATGCCCCGCCCCCGACTCACCCTCGCCCAATGACCTTAACCTGAGGAAACAAAACAGAAACAGATCCAGGATCAGAAACAGACTCAGAAACAGATCCAGACTCAGATCCAGACTCACCTGGTCAGGTACTCCTCACAGAACGAGCCCAGCTGCTGCATCTCAGTCTGGAAGAAGTTCTGAAGAGAGACAGAAGAACTGGATCAGGTCTGACTACTAATGTGTTTTATTCTTAAATATATTCTCTGTACCAGGATCAGTACTGCAGTATTACTGCAGTATTAGTGAGTACAGTAGCAGTATTAGTACAGTAGCAGTACAGTAGTAGTATATTAGCACAGTAGCAGTATTGGTACAGTAGCAGTACAGTAGTAGTATATTAGTACAGTAGCAGTATTGCTGCAGTATTCTGTGTACCAGGGTCTGTGTGTTGATGGAAGTCAGACGGTTTGAATCATCATGGAGACTCTTCAGCTGATCAGTGACACTGCTCTGAAACCTGTGGAGCAACACCAACCTACACACACACACACACAGACACACGGACAGGTGTGACAAGGTGAGCGGTACTTGTGCTGACGGACAGGTGTGATAAGTGGGTGGTACTTGTGCTGACGGACAGGTGTGATAAAGTGGGCGGTACTTGTGCTGACGGACAAGTGTGATAAGGTGGGCGGTACTTGTGCTGACGGACAGGTGTGATAAAGTGGGCGGTACTTGTGCTGACGGACAGGTGTGATAAAGTGGGCGGTACTTGTGCTGACGGACAGGTGTGATAAAGTGTGCGGTACTTGTGTTGACGGACAGGTGTGATAAAGTGGGCGGTACTTGTGCTGACGGACAGGTGTGATAAAGTGGGCGGTACTTGTGCTGACGGACAGGTGTGATAAAGTGTGTGGTACTTGTGTTGACGGACAGGTGTGATAAAGTGGGCGGTACTTGTGCTGATGGACAGGTGTGATAAAGTGGGCGGTACTTGTGTTGACGGACAGGTGTGATAAAGTGGGCGGTACTTGTGCTGACGGACAGGTGTGATAAAGTGGGCGGTACTTGTGCTGACGGACAGGTGTGATAAAGTGTGTGGTACTTGTGTTGACGGACAGGTGTGATAAAGTGGGCGGTACTTGTGCTGACGGACAGGTGTGATAAAGTGGGCGGTACTTGTGTTGACGGACAGGTGTGATAAAGTGGGCGGTACTTGTGCTGACGGACAGGTGTGATAGTGGGCGGTACTTGTGTTGACGGACAGGTGTGATAAAGTGGGCGGTACTTGTGCTGACGGACAGGTGTGATAAAGTGGGCGGTACTTGTGCTGACGGACAGGTGTGATAAAGTGGGCAGAACTTGTGCTGACGGACAGGTGTGATAAAGTGGGCAGTACTTGTGCTGACGGACAGGTGTGATAAAGTGGGCGGTACTTGTGCTGACGGATAGGTGTGATAAAGTGGGTGGTACTTGTACAGGTGTGTTACCTGTGTTGATGGACAGCTGTCAGCAGGGAGGAGACGTGTTGTTGACATGTTGTTAACGACTGGAGTATTTCTGTCTCCACGTTCTTCCAGCAGCCCTGAAACGTATCGTTAGTTCATATTTTAATTCACTTTATTTGTTTGTTGATAATAAAATCCTTTAGTGTCGGCACTGACGGTGAAGTAGTGATCCAGCTGAGAATTAAAGGTGTTGAAGGCAGCGGTGATATCGGACGTCAGGTGAGACCCTGGCTCCGCCCCCCCCACAGGCCCCGCCCCCTCAGGTGAGGACTCTGGGAGCAGGTGAGCAGCAGATTTAAGAATCATTCAAACATCATCATCTTAATAAATGATAAAAGATCTACCTGTCTGCAGGCTGTTAGGCCCCTCCCCCTCTGGCTCCTCCCCCTCTGGCTCCTCCCCCTCTGGCTCTGGCTCCTCCCCCTCTGGCTCCTCCCCCTCGGGCTCTGGCTCCTCCCCCTCAGGTGCTTCCCCCTCTGACACAGGCTCCTCCCTCCTGGTTTTGTCCAGCGGGCCCTCAGTTTGGTCTGACAGGTAACCTTCAGACAGAAACAGAAATATAATCTTAAATGTTAAAGAGTGAGCATTAACCCATCAGCAGAGTGAGATAATAAATAATACCTGAGTCTAGAGCGGACCTCTTCCTGCCAGAACCGAACCCTTCCTGAAACACAGGTAGACCACCAGTAAAAACTGTACCTTTAATATAATAATTATATAAATATAACCTACCTTTGGAATGAAAGAGAGGTCTCCTCCAAACATGTCTTTCTGCACCTGAGACGTTTGTAGCTCCGCCCCCTCAGGTAACCCTGAGAGACAGACAGGTTCCTCTGAGGTGGTTTTAATTGGGGGGGGGGGGGGGGGGGGTTATTGATGAGTCAACAGACAGGTATATAGTGTACTTACCTGAGGAGTGTGTGGGGGAGGAGTGAAAGATCTGATCGAACAGAAGCTCTCCCTGATTCACCTGAAACAGAGAGGAGGGGTCACCACACACACACACACACACACACACACACACACACACACACACACACACACACACACACACACACACACACACACACACACACACACACACACACACAGCACACACACACACACACACACACACACACACACACACACACACACACACACACACACACACACACACACACACACAACACACACACACACACACACACACACACACACACACACACACACACACACACACACACACACACACACACACACACACACACACACACACACACACACACACACACACACACACGTTACCTTCGGAACAGGTGAGTCCTCCTCACTACTTGGGGAGGACATGGGGAGGACTGTGGGAGAGACAGACAGGTGAGTCAGACAGAGTCAGACAGACAGTCAGTCAGACAGACAGACAGTCAGACAGACAGACAGTCAGACAGACAGTCAGACAGACAGTCAGTCAGACAGACAGACAGACAGACAGACAGACAGACAGTCAGACAGACAGTATTATAAACTTAGGGCTTTTATTTTGAAGACCTTTCAGCTTGCTCTCTGTTTTCTTCCTGATGTAGGACCTTCTATTGTGCTTGTCAGCGGGGGGGGAGACCTGGACCGTACCATCTGAGGAACACTTCACTCTCTGTTTCAGAGGGGGGGAAACACACCCATATTCTGACATGATTATTATTACAATGAAATAGATTTGTATTCTGTTTTCACTGAAGCTGATATCTGCGGATATTTGATTGGCAGGTACCATGAAGACCCGCCCCATCGCCTCCTGCAGTTTGCTCAGGTGTTCGCTGTCGAACCTCAGCTGCACCACCTGACCTGGGCTGTCCCGGTGCATGATGGGAAACTTCAGCCGCACGCTGAGGACCGCCTCTGCCCCACTGCATTCTGGGAAGACACACAGCGTCACAAGAGATAAATAAACAAACAGAGATGAAATATAAAAAATCAGACAGGAAGTTACCTTTGAGGCTGTAGAGATCCACTTCCTCCTGCTGCAGGTGAAACGAGCCCCACAGGAAGCCCTGCAACACACACACTCTACTTTAAAGAGTCCCACAGGAAGCCCTGCAACACACACACTCTACTTTAAAGAGTCCCACAGGAAGCCCTGCAACACACACACTCTACTTTAAAGAGTCCCACAGGAAGCCCTGCAACACACACACTCTACTTTAAAGAGTCCCACAGGAAGCCCTGCAACACACACACTCTACTTTAAAGAGTCCCACAGGAAGCCCTGCAACACACACACTCTACTTTAAAGAGTCCCACAGGAAGCCCTGCAACACACACACTCTACTTTAAAGAGTCCCACAGGAAGCCCTGCAACACACACACTTTACCTTTAAAGAGTCCTCTCCTGCTGATGTTCAGGTGTATATCAGTATGTAGTGTCTCTACTTTAAAGAGTCCTCTCCTGCTGATGTTCAGGTGTATATCAGTATGTAGTGTCTCTACTTTAAAGAGTCCTCTCCTGCTGATGTTAAGGTGTATATCAGTATGTAGTGTCTCTACTTTAAAGAGTCCTCTCCTGTCATGTTCAGGTTG